ATAGACAATGATCCACAAGACAGTAATCATGAACATTTAGCTACCATGAGTGCGGTGCCTGACACGCCCATCTCATGGACGTACGGAGACATTGTACTAGTAGTTCTGGGATCAAAATTGATATAACACATAAATTGCACCCCTTTTCATGGATTAAAATTTTTCTGGATGATGACCTAGTAAATCACATCACAACTGAAACCAATCGCTATGCTCACCAGCACTTCAACACACATGAGTTAGCTCCTCACTCTCGAGAACACAATTACAAATATGTCACACCAGATGAAATCTGGACATACTTAGGAATTGTGTTCATGACAGGAATCGACAAACGCCCTGAAATTGAAGAATATTGGTCCACTAGGCCCCTATTTCACACTCCATGGTATGGACAAAAGATGTCTTTGCGGCGGTTCCAACAGATTTCAAAATTTCTTCATTTTGCTGACAGTGATGCACGAACAGCTGACTGTGAAGATCGCCTGTATAAAGTTAGGTCAATCATAGACTCATTAGTAGGGAAATTTAGAAACACTTATATCCCTGAAAAGGAAATTGCAATAGATGAAGGAATGGTCGCTTGGAAAGGACGTCTTATCTTCCGAGTATATATGCCTGATAAACCTGATAAGTACGGTATAAAGGCTTATCTTGTTTGTGAATCAACAAGTGGATATATTTGGAATTTTGAAATTTATCGCAGAAAATCAAGACCTATAAAGGAATTAGTTGTCGATCTGTTGGGGCCACAGCTTGTAGATAAAGGGTATCATCTCTACCAGGATAACTATTACAATAGTGTAGAATCGTGTGAGATGTTATTACAGAGAAATACACGTGTGTGTGGTACCTTCATAATGGACAGAGGCGCTCCTAAAGAACTAAAGGATGATGCAAAAAATTTGAAAAAAGGGGAATCTGTGTTTTCTAGGAAGGGGCAGGTTCTCATACAGGTGTGGAGAGATAAAAGAGACGTCAAACTTATCTTCACTCTTCACACAGCAAAAATTGTGGAATCTGCAAAAACGAATCACAAAGGAGAAAAAATATGCAGACCCGAGGTAATTGGAGACTACAAAAAACATATGAGAGGGGTTGACAGGGCTGATCAAATGCCGCATTACTATCCTTGTGCCCGCAAAACTGTAAAGTGGACAAAGAAACTGGTGTTTTTCTTGTTGCAAATGGCAGCGTTGAATAGTTTCATTCTATTCAAAAAGAACACAAAGAATGAAAAATACAAGAAGAGAAATTACAAATTCAAAGATTTTATATTGGACTCTGTAGAAAAAATGACAGAACCAAACAAACAGTGTGGAGAGGGAGAAGAGTCAAAGAATGAAGTGGATGATGAATCTATTGCTGCAGACTCGAGTGCAGTCACGCCTCCGCCCGCGACCTTGAAAAGACCACCAGTGAAAGACCCAGCAAATCGTCACAGAATGGTCCATGTTCCTCCCAGTAACAATAAGAAGAATGGTGCCCTGAGAAAGTGTCGCATGTGTGCTGAGCACAAGATTAGAAAAGAAACAAGTGTCATGTGTGCAGGCTGTGGTGCGGCTCTCTGCAAACTTTCATGTTTCAATGTTTATCACACGAAGAAAAACTACTAAAGAGGTATGGAAAGGCATTTCTTGCATAAAATATTGTCATTTTATTAGTTCCTCAAAATTTCGTTTTTAAAAACCGATTTTTGTTGAAGTTATTTAAAAAAAGGTAAACACATGCATTTTAGCAACTTGAAGCTTAAAGGGTCTGCCAGGACAGGGGTGGCATTTAAATATCCTTCGCACCAGTCAAAGAGTTAACTGGAATTTAGGAGGAATATATTGCCTCTATCTTCAGCTGTGTGTGGTACCTTCTTCGTGTTGGTATCTTGCTTGGCTTATGTTTTGACCCTGAAGATGGAGGCGATGTATGTCTGAAAAACGTCAGCTGACTTACAGTGGACTACACAGCATTATATCCCAGAAGACAAAACTTTTAACAAATCTTGCATGGTCACCAACCTTGTGCCTTCGTATTATAAAGATGGAGGCAGCCATTTCCTCCAGAAAGTTGGTATCACCTACATGACTGCATGGTGTTGTAAGTCAGATGAATATAGTTTGAAATAAAATTTGAAGTAAATTCCATAACTGCAGACACATCTTCTTTAACACATATTTGTAGAACACACATTTGAGTCAGTTCTGGTGATTATTCAAGCAGTATGGTGATAATTTGTTGGCTTAGCTGTATTGATAGATATGAATGCTGTTTTCAGGTACTGACATGCCTTGTTGTAAAATCAGACCCGTCACTACTGACGTCAGAACTGGTGACAAGGATAATGGTGTCTGTGGCACAGCAGGCTGTGGAGAAGATTGATCGAATCCGGGCTCATGCTGGCAAAGTGTTCACGAGTCTCCTACACAGGTTAGTGATAGTAACACAGCACTTCTGCACTCCTGCTTCTTTTACAAAATGTCTTTGACCAAAATCTCAACTGGAAGGCTGAGATCTTCTGCAGGTGGATGTAGGATAGTACCTTGACATGGGCCACAAGTACTTCTTCCTCCCACAATTAAAAAGTCTGTGTTCATAATCAAACTTGGTTCTCATGAACACAAAAATATGCCCGCATATAGAGAAAGTGAAATTTATTAATAGAAGTGAAACTTAAAGTTCGGTGTTGGTGGATAAATGTACGACTCATTGACCGACTAAGTAAGTTATAAACTGTCTACGAGTACCAAGTGGGTGTCACATGGTAGCGTAGTTGGTTGAGGTGCTATGCTGCAAGCTGGACGGTTGTGGGTTCAAGTCCTGATGAGGTAATTGGATTTTTTCAATTTACATAATCTTTCCAGCCGCACTATAGCCCTGGGGTCGACGCAGCCTCTTAACAGGAATGAGTACCAGGAATATTCTTGGAATGTTCTTCTTCTGCTTCTTCTGCTTCTTCTTCTTCTTCTCCTCCTCCTTCTTCTTCTTCTTCTTCTTCTTCTTCTTACTTTACTACAGGTACCAAGTATCCATTTGAGACAGAAACATATTGTTTGTGATAAAGCGGCAGGAATTTATTTTGCGAGCACAGAGGGTACGTAGCAGTGACTCTCCCTGCTTTATTGCTGGTCAGTGTAAAAAGGTGGCACATGCTTATCATATTATATAGAGTAGCTGAAATTGACCTTTAAGACTGCCTAGCAGCATGTAAACAAGCTGTGCAACACATTCTGAAGTTCTGACCTGGATGGTTCACTGTACATGTACAACACACCATGGTACTACGTCTGCACTGTGTTATGGCATGACGATATTCTTCACTCCATATTTATATGTGTATATTGTGTATTGATATTACTGCGAGGGTCATCCAGAAAGTAAAGTCTGTTTGCGCATAACACATACTTGCCGACTTTGCCTGGGATGTATTTTTCATCCTCCCCACAATCCCAACCTGGCTCCGAGTGATTTTCACTTGTTCACACACTTCAGACAGTTTACGGCAGGACACACATGTGTGGTGATGAAGAAGTGAAGACGATTAAAGACTGGTTCAATGGACTGGCGGCAGATTTCTACATTGCAGGCATACAAAAAGTCATCAATATTAGAAACCAAAACTGTACAAAACTACAGGCAAAATTATAGCTTTTATATTTTAAGGCGCCAATCACAATGGCTGCACTGTCTATGGCATGAACTGTCATTGCTTATTTGAATGCTGGGATCGTGGGTTCAAATCCCACTTAAGGCATGAGTGTTTGTATTGTGTGCATCTATTGTGTTTGTGTTGTTTTGTATGTAGGTAGAGGCCTTGTGACAGGCTGATCTCCTGCCGACTGTGTGTAGAATCAAGAAACTGAAGTAGCGGCCACAGCCCAACAAAGGGCTGTAGAGCCATGATGATGATGATGATGATGATGATGATGATGATGATGATGATGATTCATTCATTCATCAGTCTTCTGTCAGATGACAGGTCCACAGTCTCTTCCAAAACAGTCCTCCACTTAATGCGATCTAGAGCTTTCTCCTTCAAATGAAATATCCTCTTCTGTCCCCAAAGGTCATCCAGCATCTTCTTACGTCTTCTTCCTCATCTTCTGGTCACTTCTATCTGCCCCTCTATCTCTCCTTCAATAACTTCTTTTAGAAGGCAGTTTCTGCGTAAAACATGACCAATCCAATTAGCCTTCCGTTTTCTTATTTCATGTAGGATATTCCTCTGCTCACTGATTCTAAATAACAGTTCTTCATTTCTCACATAATCCATCCAACTGATCTTCTCGATCCTTCTCCAACACCNATTTAAGTCCAATTTGCTGGTAAAAAGATTCTTCTTCTTGCTAAATGCAGCTTTTGCCATGGCAATCCTGGATTTAATTTCACAAGTACACCTTCCATCATCTGTTAACAAGCTACCAAAATATTTAAAACATTTCACATTCTCCAGTTGTTTTTGGTCTATCTTTATTGTGACTGGGGTTGGTTATCTTGAAATTTTCATTACTTTTGTTTCTTCCACATTCATTTCCATGCCATAGCACCTTCCTATTTCGATTAGTCTACGAGTCATACCCTGTAGCACAGTTTCTTCCTTAGCCATTAACACAAGGTCATCTGCATATTTCACAGTTTGAATAATTTGCCCTCCTAATTTGAAGTCTCCAAGCCCATCCAGAGCTTCCTTGGTAAGGCATTCGCTGTACAAGTTGAACAAAATTGGTGTTAAACAGCATCCTTGTCGAACTCCTCTTCCAATAATTTGATTTGTCTCATTCTGGTCTGTCACACTATTAATTACAGAGTGGGTAATGTTCAGTCTAATGTGACATACAAGTTCACAACACTTCAATCCTCGCTCACCTAACATGTTTCGATTCAAAAGAATCATCCTCAGAGGCGCACCACTACGATAAGGAAACACTGTCACATAAGATATTTTAAACAATATGCACTTAAGATATGAATAATGCTCACTATATAAATTTTGTTATTATCACGATTGGTATTGATGTTTGTCTTAGGCACTCACAATGGCGCTTCTTGAAGTGTAGATTTACTTTTCTTTTACTTACTTTACTTTACTTACGTTTCTTTTAAGTGTAATTGCTGGTTATTCTGACTGGGGTGTTCCACTGCACGCAATATGAAGTGTCATTTGTACAAACGACACAGTACATACGTAAACTACACTACTAATAATAAGAACATAAATCAAGAGAAATAAACGACACCTCCCACCATCAGGAGGAAAACAACATGACCCAATGTCGACTCAAGATATTTTAACATAATAACTAATTTTTTACATGGAAATTTTAATACAGTTTTAAATGCATTAGGAGCCAAATGTATGGAAAAGTGAACTCCATATTGCGTGCAGTGGAAAACCCCAGTCAGAATAACCAGCAATTACACTTAAAAGAAACATCATCATAAGTAAATCTACACTTCAAGAAGTGCCATTGTGAGTGCCTAAGACAAACATCAATACCAATTGCGATAATAACAAAATTTATATAGTGAGCATTATTCATAGCTTAAGTGCATATTGTTTAAAATATCTTATGTGACAGTGTTTCCTTATCGTAGTGGTGCACCTCTGAGGATGATTCTTTTGAATCGAAACATGTAAGGTGAGCGAGGATTGAAGTGTTGTGAACGTGTATGTCACATTAGACTGAACATTACCCACTCCTCTTCCAATCTTCACACTTCTTGTCTCCCCTCTGTCCAGTCGCACTCTAACTTTCTGATCCATGTACAATTTACTAATCAATCTTATTTCCCGCCAATTGATACCTGTTTCCTTTAGGCTCTGCATTAATTTGGTCCAGTTTACATGGTCAAATGCCTTCTGCCAGTCTATAAAGCAAGCACACAGTTCTTCATCTATCTCCAAAGTTCATTCTGCTATAATTCTCATCATCCCAAGTGCATCCCTGGTTCCTTTTCCTCTTCTAAATCCAAACTGATCCTCTCCAAGTATATCCTCTATTTTCCTTTCAATTCTTCTTTTAACTCTTTGCGGACTGCGAACCCTTTAAAAGGTTTTTCGCTTTTAAACATGGCGGACCGTTCGTGTGTTAACAGGTTTTTAAAACACGATAAGTTGCAACACACTGTGCATCTCTCTGGCTCCACCTAGCTAGCATGTAGCTGCTTGCAGCTGCGTTAGAAGGCTCTGGAATGTCTGCTGACCAATCAGTTACTAGACCTTGCTGTAACTCTGTGCCCCTGCAAAGGAAAATAAATGCCTTTCTTTCTTCAAGCTTTACGTAGCAAGCTGTCAGTCAGTAGTTCAATATGGATCAAAGACCAAAGCGGTTGACACCCAAGCGATTTCTTGGAGAACAAGAAATATCTGACTTCTTCTCCAATGAGCTATCTGACGTCCCTTGTGAGTCTGCTAGTGACAGCGACTCACAATCTGATAGTGAGTGTGGCAGGGGCGAACAAGAAATTGTGACCGCAGACAGTGAAAGTGAAAGTGAAAGTGACTGTAGCTCCGACGAATGTGCAGGTAGCAACATTGCGGGGACAGCCACATGGGGAAAAGTAGACAAAACGCCTGCTTTGGGACAGTTTAGTGGAAATCCAGGGGTGAAGCAAATTCCATCGGACCTAACGCAAGTGTCTGAAATAGCGGAACTGTGTTTTGGAGATAGTTTCTTTGACACGCTATGTCAGGAAACTAACCGATACTATCTCCAACACCGTGAACATTATGACAGAAGTTATAAGGCGTTGAAGTGGGTGGATGTCACTTCAGCAGAAATGAGAAAATTTTTTGCAATTATCTTTCTAATGGGCCATACAAGGAGGGATAATCTGATAGAGTACTGGTCAACAGATCCATTTTTAGAAATTCCAATTTTCGGCAAACTAATGAGCCGTAAGAGATTTGAGCAAATTTGGTGGTGTTTGCATTTCAATGATAATGAACTGCAACCACAATCAACAAGCAGGCTTTTCAAAATTCAGCCCTTATTGAACTTTTTCGTTCAGAAATTTCAGACAGTTTATAAGCCAAACCAAAAACTGTCTTTGGACGAATCTGTGATTCCTTGGAGGGGAAGGCTTCGTATGCGAACATATAATCCTGGGAAACTTACAAAGTATGGCCTACTTGTTCATGTAGTTACTGAAAGCACTTCAGGCTATATTGGAAATTTAGAAATTTATTCTGGTGAAGGAAAGAAATTACAAGAAACTATTCTTTCCGTTTTGGAACCCTATCTTGATCAAAATTACCATGTCTATCAAGACAATTATTATAACAGTGTGGCAACTGCAGAACACCTATTTTTGAGAAAAGTACTTGTTTGTGGAACAATTAGGGTGAACAGAGGCCTTCCTCCAGATCTGAAAGAGGAATGTAAATCCCTGAAACGTGGTGAAACCACATTCAGGAGGAAGGGGGATATTCTTCTTCAGTCCTGGAGGGATACTCGTGTTGTGAATATGATTTCCACAATTCACAATTCGAGCATGGTTGATGTTCAAAGGAGACATGGAGAGGTAAAGAAGCCTGTTCGTATTTCCGAGTATAATATGTTCATGAAGGGAGTTGACAGAGCCGATCAGTACTTGGCCTATTATTCACTTCCTTGGAAAATAGTAAAGTGGACAAAGAAAGTTGCCTTGTGGCTTATAAATTGTGCCATTTTCAATTCATTTTTGGTTTTCAAAAATCTGAGCCCTCATTCAAAATTGAAATACAAGGCATTTCTGCTCAATGTGGCAAAACCTGGGCTACAGACCACACAGTGGCGGCAGACACAACTGGGGCTGTCTACTCCCACCCCACGCAGGCTTCATTTTGACCCCCCTGGGCGACTCTCGGGTGATATGCAGAAACATACCCTCGCGAAAATTGTGAAGAGTGAACATTTCAAGGGGAAGCAGCCTTCTAGGCAATGCCGTGCTTTCACAATTCACAAGAAAAGGAGCAGGACTACCTACATTTGCAAGTTTTGTGTAATGCCACTTCACAGAGGGGAATGTTTCGAGAAATATCACACCCTCGAGTACTTCTAGAAGCATTGGTAAGTGTTCTCAAAAAATTTTAATTCATAAAATTAATTAGGAGATTTTATATTAATTTTTAAAGTGAACAGTGCACAAGTTAGGGTAGTAGGTATAAAAATGCCAGTCTGCAGGGTGATTTAAATATTTAAATTGCCGGTCCGCAAAGAGTTAAGTGTCTTTGCTATTATCTTTGCTGTATGTGCCATAAGGCTTATTGTACGATGGTCACTGCATTTTGTAGCTTTGTCTTTTTCTTTAAGGCAATCAGTGTCACTTCTGTAAAGTCCTTGGGCCACTCCCCAGTTTCATATATGGTGTTTATTAGTTTTATCAGTGTTTTCAAACCACCTTCTCCCAGTAACTTAAGCACATCTCCAGGTACATCATCATCTCCTGTAGCCTTTCCATTCCTCAAGTCCTTGATAGCTTTTTCCACCTCACTTTGTAAAATATATGGTCCTTTCTCGTCTGTATCTACTTCTTCTTCGGGTTCAACTTCTAAGGTTTCTGGCTGATTAGATTAGGTCGATCATATAGTTCTGTAATATAATTTTCCCAAATTTTCAGCACTTGCCTCTGATCTACTATTCTATTCCCCTGGGAGTCTTCGATGCCAACATTTTGAATCCCATGATTCTCTTTCCATCCTAGTTCTTTTGTCTTCATGTACATCAAATCATAACGTCCTGTTCTTTGAAATTCTATAATCTCATTACATATCTTCTCAAGATATTCCTTTTTGGCCCTGTCCGTGGCTCTTTTCAATTCATTCCTCAGTCTCCTGTATTTCCTCCTGCCTTCTTCATTGTTTACATTCTTCCATTTCCTTCGCTCCTCCATTTTACTCATCATCTCCTGTGTAACCCATGGTTTTCTTGCTATCTTCTCAACTTTACAACTTTACCAACCAATTCACTAATAGTATCTAACATTCATTCTTTTATATTGTTCCGCTGCACTTCAGCATTTCCGCTTTCACTCTCAATTGCACTGAGTTTCTCTTCTAGGGTCTCCTGCATGCTTTGTCTGTGAGCATATAACATCTCCAAATCCCATCTAGGTCTGCGCTTTTGGAATCTTATAATTTTCTTCAACCTGGTTTGAAACTTGGCAACCAGTAAGTTGTGGTCAGAGTCAGTATCTGCTCCAGGCAGCAGCTTCACATCCTTCACACTGTTTCTGAATCGATGTTTCACAAGGATGTAGTCCAGCTGATGTTGCTTCCAATCCCCAGGTGCCTTCCATGTGTAAATTCTTCTCTTTGGCTTCTTGAACCAAGTGTTGGTGACAATCAGTTCACTTCTTTCACAAAAGTCAGTAAGCATTTGACCCCTGTGATTCTGTCTTCCTAGTCCATGTCATCCAACAATATTCTGATATGATTCATCTCCAACAGTGCTATTCCGGTCTCCCAATATGATGCTGTTTGTGTCACCTCTTCCATCTTCCTGAAGAATTTCTTCAGTTGTGTCATACACTTTTTCCACTTCATCATCTTCATACTCTGATGTTGGCATGTACACTTGCATAATCGGTATATCTACCAGTTTTGCCTTTAACTTCAGAGCAATAATTCTGTCATTACAAACAATCTTCTTAACAGCATTCCTCACTACACTTTTATGCACCACTATTGCCACACCTCTTTCAGCCTGTTCACCTCCAGAATAATACACTGTATAATCACCACTTCTTATTTCACCCTATCCTTTCCACCGCTCTTTGCCGACACCTAAAACAGACACCTCATTCTTCTGCATTTCCGTTTTCAAATTCTCCAATTTGCCTGCTTGATTCAGGGTCCTTACATTCCGTGTTCCAATCTTGTAGCCATGATGTTTCTTCTGCTCTTCGCACTTTTTCTTGTTGTAACGCCTGCATGACATTTCCTCTAGATACACTCCCCCCCGGAGATCCGATTGGGGGAATAGTATATCTCCGGATTGTTTTGTCTCCAGAGGAAACATCTTGCATACATGGTATCTCTGTTTTTGGAAAGAGACTGTCCAGAAAAAGTGATAATGTGGTAGTTTTTCCATTTGCTCTCCACATCGCAGTACAACAGCCATTCAAACCACTCTGGTCACGCCTGTTGCTATATGAACTTGAACCATCTCGAGCATCATTTGCTCTGTGCTTCAAGTTGCTGCTGATGACGCTGCTTCAGGCATCAGTTTTTGGTTTTTGGTCTCTCTGTTCGTCTGATGCCTAACCTTTGACGTGTCCGGCAAGGGAGGCCCTGACAGTAGCTACGCTACCGCTGGTATAGCTCTCAGGGTCCTTGGCATACTCAAACCCCCTCACCACGATAAGGTGGAGACACCAACGAGGGGGATGATGATTATGATAATAATTAAGGCAGTGCTTATAATTACTAATGATTCTTTATAAGTCTGTGTATGACAGTGTGTTTATTGAGAGTGTAGTGTTGTTAGCCTTTTGGGGTCTGCTACTAGAGAGCTAATTGTGCGGGCCCTATGTGGTCATGTTCCAGTGCTCCTGCAATTCCAAACATTCCACACCATGCAGAGCTTGTACAAATCTTCCCAGCAGCAGCCTGTGAGAAGGAGATAAATTGGATTGCAGCATCTAACACGTTCCCACGTTTCACACAGCTGCTGGCATTCAGACCTTTCACATACAATGTACTGCTTGGCCTGGTGAGCAGTGTGGGAGGCCTATCTGAGAGCCTGGTGAGAGTTAGCCCTGCAGTGTATTTGAAATTGTTATTTCAGGCTAAGGTTGATGTAGTGTGAATATATCTAGTATGATGTTTTAAACTATTGTTCTCACAGTTGGTACTGATAATTGAAGTTCTGCCATTTAGCCTCCCACAAATGCCAGTCATTGTCACTATACTAACTGTGGGATCAGGCCGCGCCATAGCTCAAGCGGTTAGTCGCTGGCTTCCCAACGTGGTGGCCTGGGTTCGATCCCGGGGTCTGGTCACGTGGGATTTGTGGTGGACAAAGTGGCGCTGGGACAGGTTTTCTCCGAGCACTTCGGTTTCACCTGCCAATCTTCATTCCACCAATTGCTCCACAATCACCCTCACCTATCATCTGGGGCTGGTACAATAGGCCAGAAGTGGCCACAGTACAAGGGACTTAGTCCCACCCCACTAGCAATAAAGAAAAACTGTGGGATCTTCAAAAACTTTGATATATTATTGTCACTTAGGGTATAAAATCAATTCCTTAACTGTGGTATGATATGTATGTCTCAGGGTTGGAATGTTGATTGTTTCATTGAAACTGTTTGAGAAATGAGAGAAGGCTTGTGTTAAATTTTATAATTAATAATACAAATAAAATGGCAGCTGATAATCAATTTTAATACATAAATACTTTAGAGATCTAAATCATTATTACATTTTTTGGGGGGTAGTTTTCACGTGCATATGTTATTACAAACACAGATTTGTCTCTTCACATTACACAGCTTTATTGTTAGGAATGTTGACCTAGCAGTTTCATATTGCAGTTACTACACTGAACTATGGGCCCAACTGAGTAGGTGTCTTCCTTTCTCGCCTGAAGACGGAAACAGATCATTTCCGAAATGTCATGTCCTCTATTACCTAAAATTCTGGACGATAGAAAAAGTCCAGAACCCAAGTAATTCTGTGTGGCATCCACCATCGTCAGGACCCTTTAGGATCTACTTGAGATTTCATTGTAGAAATAAAGTTCATTTTAAGTAAGATGTGTTATCAGACCTGCTTGCAAAACTCATTACCATATTCACAAGAGTTGCCAGTGGGTGATATTCTGAGCCAACCAAATCCGCTTCATACACATCCCATTTTCTTTTCAGATTTGTTGTACTTATAGTACTCTCCTCCCATCTTTGGATACATATTCAATGTCATTTTCTTCCCTCCCAAGTAATATTCTTTATATGTTTGTTTGTGTTCTGCCCCACATGTGCATGAAGAATATGGGCCATAATCCTTGAAAAATGCTGTCCCATTTTACTCTTAATTTTTTAGAACAATATACAACAATATGACCTTTTTTTAATATTGTCAGCAGGCTACATGTCTATTTAATTTGTATTTGATTAAAAAGAAGTAATGGCCTGTTAGTAGAGCTGTTATCAGAACTGTGAATTGCTTGCATTGTCATAATCTGGTGTGCAGAGGGCCAGGATAGTGAAAATCCATATCTGGAAGATTAAACCACAAACACACACAGCTGGCATTATGGTTGCTTTGGTGTAGAACTTTTCCAGTAATAGCTGCTTATTTGTTTTTCTGAATGTTTGTCCACAGACGAAAGACTCAAGTGCATCTCTGTTCTCATATTTGAAAGCTCATCACGGTGACAATGTGGAGCTGGAACGTCTTTGTGAAACCATCGTTGAAATTTTCCAGCACTCTCACTTTGTCGACAGGATTACCGTTCCATTATTAGAATTTCTCGATCGTCTGTTCAGCTCGGGATGTGTACGTTCTGTCTTGGAAAACTCTCAGTCAACATTTGCGTCGGATGTATTACATCATGTGAAGCTTGAGATTGGCAGGACTCGTAACGTCTCCAAACTGACGGGAAGTGTAAATATCCTGTGTCATTTAGTTCAGGTAAGTGGTCCCAAACAGTCCACTCTTGTCCTGCTCAAATGCATTCTTTCCTCGTCTTTAGTTTCTAGAATTTCACAGTTCAGGTTAATTTGTGAGTTCACATTGACTTTAGACTGGATTCTTTAAAATTTCTTAACTGCTGTGTTTGCTGCTCATTGTTCATGTTCACAGATACATCTTTAAGCTTGAAACAAAGTAAAGTAACACAAATGTTTCTATCGCTACCCTGTATGAGATCTGAGTTTCTCACATATGTGAGTATTCAGATTATAATCTTCTGTGATGGGACATTGTAGGTTGGTATGTAGGTACCCATGTCTTCATGTCCATATGTCCAGCTTCATAACTTGTATCCTTCTCCAAGTATAATTGAAATGATCAAGTCAAGGAGGATGAGGTGGGAAGGGCATGTAGCACAAATGGGGGAGAAGTGGAATGTAAATAGGATATTTGTAGGAAAGCCAGAAGTAAAGAGACTACTGAGAAGACCAAGGCGTAGGTGGGTGGACAATTTAAAATGGATCTCAGAGGGATAGGATGGGATGGTCTGGATTGGATTGATTTGGCTCAGGATAGGGACCAGTGGAGGGCTCTTGTGAACATGGTAATGAACTTTTGGGTTCCATAAAATGCTGGGAAATTCTTGAGTAGCTGCAGATTTGGCGGCTCCTCAAGAAGGGCTCAGCACCATATGTAAGTAAGTGCATATGTTGGTCCTCCCACTAGCTTTTGAAACACCTGATACATTTTCATGAAACTTTTATGAACATTGTAGCACTAGAGGCCATCACACCAAATTTTTTTAATTTCCCACCATAAAGCTACCAACCTGGCAGGTGCGTGAACTTCTGTACAGTCTTGAACTTCTGGGTATTGTAAATATTTTCACACGTATGGGTGTGATGCTCAGTGGGGTTTTTGATTGGATATTGNACATGGTATAAGAACAATTTCTCTATGGGTGTGAAACTTGGTTTCTAACAACAACGAAGGAAGAAGGGAAAGATGCTGAAGAGAATATTTGGACCAAAGAGAGATGAAGTGACGGGAGGTTGGAGAAGACTGCATAATGAGGAGCTTCATAACTTGTACTCTTCTCCAAGTATAATTAGAGTGATCAAGTCGAGGGGGATGAGGTGGGCAGGTCATGTAGCACGAATGGGGGAGACGAATGTGTATAGGATATTGGTGGGAAGGCCAGAAGGAAGGAGACCACAGGGAAGACCAAGGCGTAGGTGGGTGGACAATATTAGAATGGATCTTAGAGAGATAGGATGGGATGGTATGGACTGGATAGATCTGGCTCAGGATAGGGGCCAGTGGAGGGCTCTTGTGAACATGGTGATGAAACTTCGGGTTCCATAAAATGCTGGGAAATTCTTGAGTAGCTGCAGAATTGGTGGCTCCTCAAGAAGGGCTCGGCTCCATGAGTAAGTAAGTAAGTAACACATGACTTGTGATTACACTTAATTATGGCGCCATCGCTGATTATATAAAAACATAAAAACATATAAAACTATAAAAACATTAGAGCACATAATCTGTTACTGTCTCCATTATACATCTTCTGGTAGTGGCTCCAGCGGCTGCTATTCCTCTGTTTCTGTGCTCAAGTCTACTCTGAACAGTGGCTCTCTTCAAACTGAGCACTCTTGTGTCTCCAGCTAAGTCTACTCATCACAGACTGACTTTCAGTTGAGCACTGAGCTCCCAGGCTGGTGTCCTCATTATATAACCCCTTTGCATGGACCATGTAGAAAACACCATTTCCTACAGTTCTTCTATTGTTGCATGGCTATCCATTGCCGTGGGAATGTCCTTGCCAAGCCATTCCCTACCAGCAGCCGTCTATTCTTGCTTATTAGAAATGTATTGCATAGCAGTGAATGTTGTTTTGTTGTCTGTTTTGAGGTTGCTACCCAGCAACAGCTGTACCCGCTACAGTATTGTGAATAACATTGAATAAGTTAATTGATGCAGCCTTCTCATTTTACTTTCTAATGAATTACAGACTTCACCTAGATGTATTTTTTCAAATTCTGATTTCATGTGTAAGCTCATCCATTTCATTGCCATAATTATTTTAATAATATTTTTTCACTGTGAACCAAAACACAGTACATTAATATTTGAGAAAACCTTAAATGTGCATCTATTTGGTTGCATTGTGTGACCTCGCCATCCACCCGGGCCACAGGAAGCTCAGGGGAAAGGAAAGGGAAGATACTATTTGGTGCAGTGGACATCTCATGCTCTACATTTCTTAGTGGTTAAAATGTAGAGGGCATAAGATGCTCACAAATTCTGGGATGTGGGTCCTTCGTAGGCTGCTCGCCATAGATACCTTCAGAAGCAAAACTGCTATTGGCAAACAAGTGGCAGCTAGTTAGGAATACTCAATATGACAACCTGCCAGAAAAAAAGCCCTTCCTATATGTGAAACTTGAAGAAATAAATGGTTAACAGTGATTTTGTTATTAAATGAAGTCCCTATTATAAGTCATACACATTCTTTTCTGGTTTCACCATATTTCAGACATCCCCTTTGTGTGCTGTGTGTCATGCTTGTCTCATTTACCATAATAATATCTGTAGAAAGATTAAGAATCATGAAGCTTCTTAGTATGTAATTTTCTTGACCTTTCTGCTACTTCCTCTGTATAAGGTTCAAATATTCTTTTCAGTCCTTTATTCTCATTATGACCCTCATTCGATATTTTTCTCTCAGGAGAGGAACCTAAGTTAAAGAAAGAGTAAAATTATATTTGTGTGTGTTCTCATCTTTAGAGCGTGTAACCCCAAGGTTTGTTTCCTTCAGTACTGATTTTATTAACAGGCAACACAGCTATTATTTCAGCAGTTTTAGAGTGTACTTTCATAAGTTCTCTTAATAAAATACATTTTGTTCCAGGTGAATGGAGAGGTTTCGAGAAGATCTCTGGTGCAGCTCTGTATCTTCTTATGCAACCGTGTGATGTTTGTTCGAAGGACAACAGCCAGCCGACTTTATGAGGCACTCTTGCTTTATGGAGAGTACAGTGTCATTCCCGCAGAAAAGCTGGATGAAGTCATGACCATTCTCAACGATACCAACTGGCAGGAAGATGTAGACATTGTGAAACCCACACGCAATAAAATTTGCAATCTGATGGGCGTCCCAGTACCTGGGACTGTGGCAAGGGCAACAGCAAACGTAATCCCTAAGTAGAAGGTGTTGCCTTTCCTGTTCTCAGAATGTTACACTGATGGACGTTGTTATCAGAATATCTGAATATTCTGGTTATGAACGATTTTGACATTTATTCGACTTTGAAGAGGCCAGGTTTTGGTGCTTATGTTAGAATACAAAATTTCTGTCCATTGTTCTTAGTAATTAAGAAGAATGAAGATCTGGTATATTTATATACTAAACGTCTTGAATTTTGGCAATTCAGATTGTGAAATATTCTCAGAATCTATAATTGCATGAAATTATAACATGAACTCACAATTATGGGAACAATTATTAATTAATTTAACTAATTAACTCTTATTTATTACTTCCTATTTGAGAATTTAATTTTATTTTCTGCTACTTTTGATATTGCACAAGTTGAATAGATCATGTTTATTTCACATTTCTGTAACTAGAAGAACGAGGATAATGGTCAGTAACACCCAGCATCCCAGTGGGTGTCAAAATGTTGGATCTTGTCTGAGTTATTTTTTTCACAGGAATATGTTCATCCGATTGTTGATTTGTCTTTGGTGCACATGTTTCTTGTATGCAAGTAGAATGTGGGAATAGGTCAGGGGTCTGTTTTGCCAGATGTTTCAGTTTCGTGTATATGTATATTGTGCCATAACACCTGAGAAGTGAAGTATTGGAGCCAGGGAGATGGCTGTTGCAAGGGATCAGCTCAGTAAACATACGTTGTGGCGGTGTCATGTGACAGTATAAGAGCTGCAGGAGTCAGTGTTGCCACATGACCCAACCCCAGCAGACATTTCTGCAACAGTGGGACGTGAGACCACGACACCCACATCAACAGAGGAACAGTGTTTTCTGTTTGGTCCGTATGGAGGCTATATCTGGGGTATTGAAACACAAGCCATTCAGCCTGAGTCCGCAGGCAGACAGACCACTCCGAGCCTGAGGCTACTGTGAGACAGTTGCCCCTGGTAGAGGTGTGAGGCGCAGGCACCCCCATTGTTGTAAGTTGTTGCATAGTAGCAATGCTGAGTTGTGAGGGAGGTAACAGGCAGTGGGGATTAAATCAGTTTAAAAATTTAGAGCTTCTTCAGCGCACAAGAATACACGATCACATCAGCTGAAATCAGTGTCATGCCGGTGCCAATTTAAAGGCTTAAACCTAAGTATTTTTATACCACACACTCTGATGCATACAGGAATCATCCTTAAATTGTTGCCCTGTCTGCACAAATCTCAGGCAGCAGATCACCATGATGCCTAAAAATTTTATTATGGTGCATAGAATTTTCTTCCTATTGTGTTTTTTTATTTCTTTTTATTGCTAGTGGGGTGGGACTAAGTCCCTTGTACTGCAGCCACTTGTTGCCTGTTGTACCAGCCCCAGATGATAGGTGAGGGTGATTGTGGAGCAATTGGTGGAATGATGATTAGCAGGGGAAACTGAAGTACTCGGAGAGAACCTGCCCCAGCCCCACTTTGTCCACCACAAATCCCACTTTACCAGACCCGGGATCGAACCTGGGCCACTGCGGTGGGAAGCCAGCGCCTAACCGCTTGAGCTGTGGCGCGGCCCTTACAGACACCCTCAGTTGCCCTTCCCAGAATAAAAGGAACTGGCCATTGTTTATATTGAGATTTCAGTTATTGTTTTCATAATAAAAATGGTAGATTTTTTTTTGCCCTAAGTAGGAGCATTTTTATTTTTATTCCAGTTCCTGGTTGTTGCTTATAAGGTGTCTTTTAAAGTTGTATTTATTGTGCAAATGTAATAATTTCTTTTATAATAAAAGATAAAACAATTCTGTCCAGTGTGCCTAGTGCAGTAGAAAACATCAGTGTAGCATGAAAATGATGTGGAAGTCAGAATAAGCATCTTGCCTTACATACTACATTATTGTACTTTCTTGCCACAGTGAGGTCATTGGATTTTTCCTGTGATCCCATCTTTCCAGTTGCACTGTGGCCCTGTGATTGACTCATCTTTCTAGGGGGTAAGGAGCAGCAGGCACGTAAGGCTGACAACCTCATTGCCATCTGTGAGCCGATTGTCTAAAGAAAATATGGAAGCCTTGACATCTCACAACCCTATGGGCCTCCATGGCCTATTACAGGGATAACTTTACCCCCTTTTTTGGGGGGGAGGGGCTTGCCATTCTCCCTGTGCATTTGATTTTGAGTAGGATTCAGAGTTGCTCCTTCAGATCCTCACCTCAGTTCATATCTAGTTTTTGTGTTCACTGTTTCCAGTGTTTCCCTCAGAAACCTTCAGTCTGTGTTTCAAACAGCAAGCTGCCTAAAATTCTATACTCACCCTGTCCTAAAAGACTTTCAGTCTCCTCTCATTGCTGTAGACAGATGATACTTTGTAATGTGCAGGGTATTACACTTAAAGGCAACCCAAACAACAGTCTTGTGCTGCAGTATTGAAATGAAATCAGAAGGTCTTTCCCTCGATATAGTGGACCCTCCCAACTTTCCTGGTGACACTCGGGTCAGTTTCGCACAGAAACTATGCAGGTGCAAGTGTGATTTGTTAGTGAGCAGAACATGATCATTTTTGAATATTAATTCACATCTAAATCTTGAATATTTAGTGTTGTCTACTCTGGCAGGAATTAATTAATTTTAATTTGCTTGGGGAGGGGCGGTGGAGTCCAGCTGGGTCCACTTGGTACCGCGGCCACTGATTGGCCTATTATACCTGCCCTGGGTGATTATGATGATGGAAAATTTGGTGGAATGAAGATTGGCAGGGGAAACCGAAGTACTCGGAGAAAACCTGCCCCAGCACCACTTTGTCCACCACAAATTTCACTCTACCAGACCTGGGATCGAACCCGGGCCGCCACGGTGGGAAGCCAGCGACTAACTGCTTCAACTATGGCACGGCCATAACTCTGGCAGGAAAGTAACGAATCTGATTGCAAAACACAGTTTGATAACAAAATTTCAGGACACAGGAAATGTTTATAGTAGGCCACGTGTCTGGTGTCGGTTCTGACAGTTTTGTGGCACTAGTCAGACTGATGGCACCTGTTTAGTTTGAGTTGCATCTTAAATACTAAATTCTGCAGTTTCCACCTTACACCTTCGTGAACTGTTCTAAAATTAGAAAACTTTATTTTACATTCTAAGCCAATAGCAAATATAACAGTGCCTTCTCTTTTTTGAATCAGTGATATTAAATGTTCTCGGTATTAAACCTGCATTGTCGTAGGACTCATGTTGTTTTCCATGAAACACACAGCTTGGAATTGTGTGGAGCTGATGGATGGTGTACACAAAGCAGAACAGATTTTTGTACTTACCATTCACAGAGATAGGGGATACAAACTTGTATTCGTGTTTTGGGAGTTGGGCAAGGTGGAGTCCCTTTGTACTGTGGTCTTAATGGATATACTATAAAAGCCTGGGATAACAGACAGACAAGGAGGATTGGTGGAATGATAATTGCCGGGGAAGACCAAAGAGATCAAATATAGAAACAGACATACTTGTCCCTTTTATGCAAATGACTTACAGTATATGAAGACACGTGAAGCCCAGGAGCACTGTACACGCACAGTATGCGGTGCTGTAGTTAAGAGAGCAGATAATATAAGAAGGTAAAGATCTATGGAGGTGGGGAAGGGGTCTTTTCAGTTTTCTTATGATTACATGACTGTCATGTTACGGTAAGCTGATCACAGTGGCTGCGCAGTTGAAGGCATGAACCATCTTCGCCAACTCTTAACACTGGGGTTTTGAGTTCAAATCCCACTAGAGGCATGGATGCCTGTGTGCGTTTATTCTGTTTATGTTGTTATGTGTGTAGGTAGTGGCCTTGTGATTGGCTGATCCCACATCTAAGGAGTCCTACAGACGTGTATAGATTAAGAAACTGAAAAGCTGCCAAGGTCTACAGTTATGACAACCGAGAACTGATCATAATCACTACTAATAACTATTTACATCGTTTCATTCTGTAGAAATCACAAATATCACTTTCTCTGTCAATATGCAAGATAAGAATTTCTAGTTGTCTTGTGAACAGACGGTAGTCATTAAAATCCCAACGAATTCAACTTTTAGTTGGTTAAAAAGCCGGGAATATCGAAACTGGCTCTGCAAAGGCATCTGTTCTAATGGTCATCTTTCAACCGCTTGCTGAAGCAAAGTGTCCATTTTATAAACCGGGATTGCTGTCTTCATCGTTAAGCACAGCAAAATGTTAACTGTAACATGAAACCCGTAGCCGAGAGGACACTGATTACTGCGGCCACGAAACGCCGCCTCACACCTAGGAATCAGATGAAGGACAGTATTAATGAGGTAACTATATTTATTAAGGCCTCGCCATAGCTCAAGCGGTTAGTCGCTGTCTTCTCACCGCGGCTGCCCGCGTTCGATCTCGGGTCTGGTGAAGTGGGATTTGTGGTGGACAAAGTGGCGCTGGGGCGGGTTTTCTCCGAGTATTCGGTTTCCCCTGCCAATCTTCATTCTACCAAATTCTCCATCCTCATAATCACCCGGGTCAGGCTACAATAGGCCAATCAGTTGCCGCCGTGCCGAGTGGACCCAGCTGGACTCCACCCCCCACTGAGCGAATTAAAAAAGAAACTGTTTATTTACATTGCCTCAGTTTTCTTATACAATTGATCATAATTTGAAGCAAGTTATTTCTTTCTAAATCAGAGGATACGCCATTCGTGTCAGTAAACTAGAATACTGAGTTGAGGCAATATGCTACAAGCCGGAAGGTCGCGGGTTCGATTCCCGTTGAGGTTACTGGATTTTTCAATCTAATCCAGCGGCACTATGGTTCTGGGGCGACCAGCCTCTAACAGAAATGAATACCAGGAATGTTCCTTGGGGGTAAGGGCGGCCGGAGCTTATGGCTGACAACCTTACCGCCATCTGTGAGCTGACTATCTAGAGAAAATGTGGGAGCCTCGACGTTCCACAACCCTATGGGCATCCACGGCGCGATACAGGGATAGCTCTACCTTAACTGAAATTAAGCAGAGGGAATAGTTTGTGTACCGCAGTTTGCTCTCCACTAGAGCCCTGACAGGGTAACGGTGTCATGGTTACGATTATCGGTACCGCTGTGGCCTATTACGAAACGGCTCATTAAATTCAGTGGGAGACTATAAGCATTAGTAAAGTAAATATTTGTTATATTGCAGAGGAATTCATTACCGACCCCGAAAATATGAATACCACTCGGACACTGAGTGAACAGTGGACGGCGATGTATCTCATGCACGGGTCAGTTAGTGGGTCTCACTGAGTCCGGAAATGGCGGCACAGAGTATGCAGTATTGTTTTATTTGACTCAGCCACCTCATACGTGTCAAATGGAAGCATGGTCAGTGAATTATTAATTGCGAAGGACGCGCAAGGAATTTGCCATGACCTAATTTTAGATTACTGTCTAGGTTGTAGTTAGGCTGAGGAAAACCATGGAAAACTGCTGTCAGTACAACCGATGTCCCGGATGAGTGGAGCCAGTAATTAATTCTCTACGTCGAATTATTGTAACAAATGTATGCACATGGAGTGAGAACATTGTTATACAGGGTGTTTCACGATTTAGGGTATAACTGCAGGAGGTGATTTCCTAAGTCTTTGTGATCAAAAAAGTTCATATAAACATGTGTCCGATTTTGGACGGCTACGGAGTTATGACCGTGGTTTCATTGCCGTATACGCCCTCGTGTGAACCGCGTCTGTCAGCTGATGGGTCGCTATTTTTAGCCAGCTACGGAGAGAGCGTTCTCGTTATCTCGACACTTGAGGGGTACCTAAGGCGGGGTGGGTTGGTATGTCCGGCGCGGTTCACAACCGAGCGGCAGCGTGTGTTCGGCCGGCGGTGGCATTTTCGAAAATCAACTTTAAGCACCAATAAATTCACATTAAAGGTAATTTCACGAAGTTAACTGTACAGTCATACTTTAAATGTATCATGTATTACGCTGGTTTATTATTTTGTTCCGTTTTTTGTCAGTAATCGTTACCTTCTATTCTGAGTTTAAAACGGTCATAACTCCGTTAACCGTCCAAAATCGGACACATGATTATATGAACTATTTGATCACAAAGACCTAGGAAATCACCTTCTGCAGTTATGCCCTAAAGTCGTGAAACACCCTTTATATACACACACATAAAGTAATGTAATAGTGACATGAAAGCCCTGTAATTGCCCAGTTTTGGGTTGCCATAGGAACGAATTGTCGAACGGTAACAATTTGCATGAAAGTAAGCTATACAAGATATTCCAGGAAGAAAGGTCAATACCATGGGAGGTCACAGTGTCGGTCGTTCTAAGCAAGAAAGTGTATATGTACAT